TAAAAACATTGATATCGGTCTTTTTGGGTGCGCCACGCATTTCTACTTCCGTAAAAGATCAGCGGCATTTGAATACCGCTCGTTCTCAGCAGCATGTGTATCCCAAACAAGATGCTAGTTAACACAGTCCAGAATGACAGAACACCTGGTTGGTCTGAGCCTAATCTTGCCAGGTTGGTGATCAGGACATCCGAGGAGTGGAATAGCGCGCAAACCAGCATTCCTAACTGGTTGACTAGGCAAAGCTTTTGGCATCAAATCAGACGTATCATACCGGTCTACGTTCCGTACTGTCTATTGGTGGCTTCATCTTATTGTTAGAAACTTCTACAATTGATGAGTTTATTTCTTCCATCTGACTCTTCGAGGACCACTGTCAGCCTATACACATTCATTCAATTATATGATGGCATTCATCCATCCAGTGACCCTCGAAACTCGAGGAAAAGAGTTTGTTGACCAGTCGGGATAAGTCTGTCCAATAAGTGATACAAGACGTAAGCCACCATGACACAATTGATTCGACGGCAAGTGTCAGGTTGAGTCAACTATCTAGGCATATCAGCTGGTTCGCCGCTCCTCGGATGTCCTGAACTAAGGGCGCATCATGCCGGGGAAAAATTTGCAAAATACGACCCCCTCAAAAGTTCCCTTCCGGTACAACCCTCTCCTTCCCCATCTCATCTTTCCAGTTCTAAAATTTCCCCAGTTTTCTAGCTTTTTTTGCAAAGAAATTCTTCAGTTTTCCTCACAAAACCGCGGTGGAGCAGGGGGAGGGGACATTTGTAAAAGTTACGGAAGTGGACCATGTTATCTTTAAAATAAGGTACCAGCTTATGGATAAAACTACGAAAACAGGAGGGGAATAGAAGTTTTAACCCAGAAAAGGCCTAATCAATCAATACTCAACCATTACAGTTCCTGGGTTAATCACTACTGCATGAAAACAACAACCGCTTCATTACTTCCGATAAAAGGATAAACATCATCGAGACTGAAGAACACTCTAAATAATGGAATAAGGTATAAAAGGAATAGGAAATAGGAAGAAAATAGAAGAATGGGCCCTCTAACTAGATTTGACGAGCACTGCGTTCAAAAAAGTCGAGTCGATCGAGGGACAACGGATCGCATCGACCGATTATACGAGCTAATTACGTGTGGCCCACAAAACCATAGGCTATACCCAAAAAAGTCACAGCCTCGAAGGTTTTCTTAGCTAATTGAAGCGATATCAGCTGAAAGTCCAGTCACCACCATCGGCATTTTTCACCAGTACAGTCTAATATCCTCTGGCATTTTTCGGGGTGTTCAGTTATAGGTAAGTTACTCCCACAGTTGAAGATATACCCCGCGACGCATATTGTGGATAGTGGCGCTCAGTTACAAACCATAGCCGCTAAGTGACTCTCCAGTAAAAAAAAAACAAAAAAAATCGTCGGAAACACCTATTGCCCGTATTGACCTAACAGCCGCACTGTACGAGTTCTGCGTAACTGCGCGTTTTATGCCAGGGAGGCGAAACCCTGTCACTTCTGGCTCACTAATCGTTTCTTTGCGTCATCCAATGCTAACACCATCTAAGGGTGAAAAAAACGAAAAACACCTTGTAAAAACTGAACTCGCGACAAAAAATAGCTTTCGAGTTTTGGTGGGCAGGACAACTACGAGGGCGTCGTAACTGCCACTCAGGAGGGGCGCAGCGCTTTTGTTACTTACTGTGAAGCCGCGAAAAAGGGCAGTCCCAAGACTGCGCAGACTGCGTCCCAGGCTACTTGAGTAGCGGAGGACGCTTACCAATTGGTTGAGCGCGGGGACTGTCTTTAATAAAAATTAACAGGTCTCCATAGAAAGCATCGGCAGCGATCGATGAGAACTAACGAAATACCCTCACCAAGCCGAGCTGCGCCCTTTTCGGATAGGGAAAAGACAATTTTTATCATCACTATGGGAAAGGATCTCCATTTCCTATATGCATTTCAGTGCTCCGTAATTAGCCTATTTTCTAGGAGTATGAGGCGCGCTTATTCATTATTTATTTTATACGGGCGCGAAAAGTTTCTAACCAAAGCATTTTGTGTACTCTTGGCTTCTTCTGGTGCGTATCCCTCAAAATAAATTAATTACTGTTTTCAAAACTGTACCTCATACATAGACGAGCTCACGCAAAAAAAAATACGCTTCTAGGCGATGGTGCACCTTATATCCGGAAAATAGGGTACTCTTAGCAGTAGTAAGAAAAAGCAGTGAAGTGAATCGTACAGGTACTCTTAGCAGTAAGGAAAAGCAGTAAAGTAAATCGTACAGTTGGATGCATTCACAATGGGGCAATGGTGGATAGAAGGGAACAGATGGGAAAATTGCCTGTTGCAATGAGCTACACGATGTAGGGAAGCTCAGGCATGAACAAACATGGGCTTTTGTTTGACTCCATGTACTTATTTTCAATCCAACAATTCTACCAAAAATTTATATCCTTCTCAATTCAGTTGGCAGTAAAAGAACAACATGAGCCATCTCTTTGCACTGATTCCGCTTCACCTCAAAGGAAGAACCTTCACGAATCCTCTGAATGGAGAATAGTCCAGCTCCGATCAATAATTTTATTGTCGCTGGCAAAGCCCACTCAGTGAGGCACTTTTGTCAAAAATGCCGCTTCGAACTTGCACTATTGTAGATGGATCATTTGCAAGCTAGTGAGTCTACCATACTTATTTTTGGGAGAGTAAAATTTTAGCGACCCCAGTAATGACTTGACCAGCTAGGAAGGGATCGGGTCCTGCGAGTAAGTATGTGATGGTTAGAGGGCATCTCAAAACGGCTTGTCATGCCGATGAGTAAAACTGGTCACGACAAAACCCCGCTCTCTACCGCTTTGTCATTACAACTTCCTTCACACAGAGAAACTTAAAAGTCCAACTTCACTTACAGTTCAAATTTCCAGATAGATTTCTCGTCGATCAGGAGGGAATGGTATATAACTGACGGTTGCGGTGTACTGGCAGGAGGCACCGCTTACCACAGCAAACCAGATACCGCCCGGGCCAACCGAGCGTTCTATCCCTTTGGGATCAGTGAATTGGTGGCAGACCTATTTGTAAGAATAAGCTCTGTTTTTCACAATGGCAAACCCCCGTCAGTCGTAGGATACAAGGCTCGTTATGTAAAATACAGTAGGGGGGGGTCGGTTCTGCCGCGAGAGTTCTTCTGGTTCTCTTTTTCCTAGCTTCGCACGAGTTACAGTCTTGTTCAGTGCGGATGGTGAGGCGTGTCAAGAGGAACAGATTTAGCGCGGCTCCTGACTCCGGCCTGTTTTTCTTTTCTTTCGGTAAGCGGCAAGATTGCATCATATCGTTCGTACCATTCGTTTTCATCCGGTTGTTTTAGCTTATTCGCTTCAACAACTGGTGAAGAATAGACTAGCAGTACGGCAAACGCAGCCTCACTGGCTCGCCCCGTCATCCGCAGCGAACAAGACTGTATCGCTAGTTGGCAAGCGAGCCACAGCGTCTAATTCTGATAGCCCCAAATGTCTATTTACTGCCCCCCCCCACTCATTTTCGCTCCCGCTCGACGCAGTGGGAAACGGGGCGTACCCCAGGAGGAAGCTTCAGACGACTTGGAGATGATAATTCGCAAAACTTCTCCACGATTTGATTCTAGGCCCTGATAGTTTAGCCTCCATACCGCCGTTTAGATTCCTGAAATGGAAGTATATGCGCTGCACATCCAGAATGAGGGGGGTGCTAGAACACTATCGAGAAACTTACCCGTTCTTTCCAACAGTATTCCTGAGAAACGGCAGAATATGAGAATCTATATTGAAGGAGAAAGTTTCCTGTTATTCAATACTTTTTCTGGGATGCGCACGCATTCTCCTTCCATTTAGATAGCAGTGCTACTGAGTGCCGCTAGCGCCTATACAATGACTTACCAAAGACAGCTCCCGCGATAAAAGTCTCATGGATAGCTGCTTTCCAATTATGAAACAGCAGCTGATAAGTAATCTCCCAAAGAAGAAAACAAGCAAGAAGCGTCCTCCAGAAACTCAACCATATACAAAATCAGCTCCCCACAGTCACACCCTCCCTGCGATCTCTAGGTGCAAACCCCTTACCTCCAAATCTCCTATCCACATTCTCCCGATAATGATATCAGCACTGGAAAAAAGAAATACAAAAAGAAAGACAACAAAAGAAACGCAGAGGAAAAACTCCTGGAATGGAAAAGTAATTTATCAAAGCGCGCGTCCTCGAAATTTGGCGAATACGGTACGACGTTCTTGTGCTCCCCGCGTCGATTTTGCATCACAAAAATTGCGTCACTCGTGCTTTTTACGCGTTTCACCTCGCGAAATGAGTTGAATTGAATGTATATACCTCCAATGAGTAAACTGTAATATAAGGGGAGCAGAATTATCCATGGCATTAGCAATGCCCCCCCCCCCCAACTAAGAACAACTGAGTGGCCTCCGTCGGAGGACATCTAGCAAGTAAGGCGGTCCAACTGAGCAGGCGTTAGAACTAGAACTTACAGCGGCTGTAGCTCGCTTCTCGCTCGCTGTGCAGACGAATAGAGTGGGACAGTCTCTAGCTTGGGGGCTGTACTACTTGCACAAGGAAGGACGACCATGTACTACTCGAGCGCGGGGGCTGTCTTTAAAGGCCAGCCGATGGACAAGTCAGTGCCATTATCCTCCCGAACGAATGTGGTACCAATTATACCGTCCCCGGGAGACAGAGTGCTTGGTTTTGGCCTAGGCGGTAGCCCGAACTGGGATTTAAGGCAGCGTTCAGACTCGCGATGGCAGCGCATCAGTCGCGCGTTTGACGCAATCGATGCGCATGTTTTCGACTGCTCGCGTCGAAAACAGCAAAACAAAAAAAAACAGCCTGATGCGCGACCGAAGCGCTGACGTTGCGAAGTCTGAACGCTGCCTAATCCTCGGCCCTGTGCGTGGTAAGTCACCTACCACTGCACCACTCCCGCCTTCACCATCTTTAATACATTCGGAATTCCCACACCGCTTGCGAATAAAGTAGATCCTCCTTAGCGAGCCAAATAGGGTCTCTCTTCGGAACTAAACACGACCGCTTTCTGTAGGTATCCTCAACCCCCACGGTATCCTGATCTCCAAAGCAGTGCACCGCATAGACTAGGTTTATGCGAGAACCACAACAGAGAACGACAATGAGCTCCTGAGGACCCTGCTCCTGCTCATCAAAAAGCCAGCTCTGCCACACTGCTGTAACCATGCAACCATCAAACGTGCGAATGGGCAACTCACGCGGTATAAACTGCAACAGCACCACATATTTCACAGCACGATAAACAGCCTGTAGTGGACGCACAATCACCACCTAAAAGAGGGACTGTTCACGGTAAAATCCTTGAACTATCATATAGACCACCTACCGTTGCCCCATCCGCCATTTTTCGCCCGCAAAATTTTGAAGTGTACACGATTTTTTGATTAACTTCGTAGTAATCCCATACGGGATTGACAAGAAGACAGCCAACTGTAATGTGTTGTATCAGTGTTGAAAAAGAAAAACGCTCTCTACAACTAGTAATGTTCATAATGTTCACAAAAGGCTCTCGTAATCCACCTGTAGCATAAGCCGCTATACATGCAGTTTCCAGTTCTTGCATTTTTAGCTGATGGGAACTGTATAAACAGCCAGCCACGGACAACGTCTGCAATAACAATTAATATAATAACGTTACTTGTTTGGAGGCAAATTCCACACTGGTCGTATGGAGGGAGTCGGGTACAGAGCACTGAGAAGAAAGAGCGGGAAAAGTCAAAAACAGGACAAAACCTTCCTCACAAGTTCGGAAAACTTCCTCACCACAAGAGGCAAATACGACCCCCCTTCTCCCCGGCGACCACGTACGACCTCTGATGGGACACAGCTCAATCCAATTCATATGAGAAGGGTAAGATATTTCAAAGTAGATCATAATTAGCTCACCCTCCATATGGATTGCACTGGCCACAATGCCACATGAGTAGCTATACTTCGCTCATGCGTAGGTGAAAGTAGCACATCCCAACCGACCACTCCTGCTGCCAGAGATAGCAGGATCCGAAGCTGTACGAGTTCATCGCAGTAAAGAGCAGTGGCCCTAAAATTGTCAACATAATGAATAAACTGTTGATGAACTCATTTAAGGGCTCACAACTCCTTGTTTCCATCGAGACCTTGAACAAAGAAAATGAGGGAATGAAAGCTTTTTCATTATTCACAAAGAATTCTACTGAAGCTTGAGCTTCTAGGATTTTTTTGGTAAGTGGCAGATTTCGTCGCCAAGAGGGATTGAACATGGCTGCTTAACAACTTCGTGACTCGAGCCACACGGCCATGCGATTCGAAACTCGCGAAACGCTTACGCTGACTGCGCTCCACCGCTAATCGTTAGACCACTGCAACTGCTAATTCAATCATAGTCAGGATATTACTTATTTCAAACTGTGCAGCGATCCCACAATTAGCGGTGGAGGGCAATCAGTCACAGTCGCGCGACCAAATCGCTCAAGCTGCGAAGTATGAACGCAGCAGAGTGCAAAGTTGCATTGAAGAAATTCAAAGACAATTGTATATTTACCTCCGAGGGGGTCTCAGATGAATGCGACAAAAACTGCAATAGCGGGGACTTCCCGCTCAAAGCCCGGTGGCTTAGCTGAAGGATAGTGATAACTGGGTATCGTTTCCGAACTCCGCCCATGTTATCCTCAAGGTGTAGCGCTGGGGTCAATAGCAAAATCCTGCAGCGTGTGAACGGCCGTGCGGCAACACAGGCGGTTCGGATATCTCCATCCCGTTCCTGTGCACTTTGAGCGAGAGAATGGCGCGCTTCTGCAGCTGTCGACACATTCAGCTCGCGCACGGCACTGACCAGTATCTATGGAAGGTGACTGTAGTTTGTCTCCAGAGTGATATTCCGCACTAATGCTGGTTACTGGAGTTGCAACGTACTGTTAAGACTTCCACTTCGCACAAAGGCATATGTCAACGGCACAGAAGCAGTACTTGTGATTGAGGTAGGAGCAGAGTGGCTATGTGAATTGCGAATTTTCAACTTCCATGATGAATTTCCAAACTATACTGACCAGAATGCTGCATTGACGAGCATTAAATACGGTCCAGAGGCGGGACTCCGCCATTCTACCACGCTTCGCCAGAATTCGTGAACCCTCGAAGATAACGTTCGCACTGACTCCATCTGGAAAACAAACGTCATGAAACAGTTCTTTTGAAGACGACCCTAATAAAAAAGTGTAACGAACTTGATGTAAGATAGCTTTATCCCAGAAAACAAGCTACAGCATGAGTTGAATAAATTCAGCTAATCATTTCAGCTGACCTATCCTCTGATCATTCGCGGTTCAAAATGATCAAAGGATACGTCAGCTGAAAGTTGCTAACATATTTCACGTGACATATATGTGTAGTCATACATTTTTCTCTCTGCGGTAGGCACAATTCATATGGATTCTACGGGCAGAAATAGTCGGCTGTCATATCTTTATCACTATTGCGCCTCTTAATTCTACAGTTATAGAAGGAGAGGCGCGAGAATAAGGAAGGCACAATGACTGACCATCTCCGCCCATACAACCACGGTGGGCTCCGTCTTTAACAAATGTGGAAACAGATTAAAGACACTTCCCGCGATCAACTGGTCTTCAAAACGACTCCGTGCCTTTTGAACTGTTACACGCATTCACAGAGAACATACCACTTTCATCCCTCAAAAATAAGGAAGTTAGAGACACGTGAGCGTGGCAACGCGTGCGACAACAAGAAGCTAACTTCAGTATTACCGCCACGGTACCGTAACCCAAAGCGGCGCCCAGTTGATTGTAACTCCGCAGTGGACGTACGTATAACACTGAACTTTACGCCAGCACCACTACGAGAATTGCGCGCACCACTACGAGAATTACTTTTGCGTTTATTTGCTATAAGGACAACATGGAGAGGAAGCGGTATAGCGGGAAATAAGCTTGCTCACCGTGAGCATGGGAGGTGGAAGAAATTCCTTGATCGGATTCCTCGCGGCACGAATTGCATCCAAATGACATTAGAAGTATAAATAAAAGTCGAATGCGTGGCGCACTATCAAAAAGTGAAT